TCCCTTCATCCCAGTCAATCGATTTCCTTCCTAGGAATAGATTTGGACTCGGTCACGATGACGGCTCGCCTGTCTACACAGCGCGCGCGCAGTGTTCAGCGTCTAGCCGCCTCGTTCCAGATGGGCACCCGCAGGCCTCTGAAAACTTTTCAGAGGATGCTGGGTTACATGGCCTCAGCCTCCGCTGTACTTCAGTTGGGCCTTCTGCACATGCGCCCGCTTCAGTTCTGGTTGAACAGCCGTGTACCCCACCGCGCGTGGAACACGGGCCGCCAGCTGATCAGGGTTACGCAAACGTGTCTCACGGCGCTGCAGCCATGGACAGTAGCAGAATGGTTTCGTCTAGGCGTCACGATGGGGACCTTTTCCTGCCGAAAAGTCATCTCGACAGATGCATCCAACACGGGTTGGGGTGCAGTCTGCGAGGGCTCACCGGCCTTCGGCCACTGGTCGATTCAGGAAAGCCCATTACACATAAACTGTCTGGAAATGCTGGCGGTCGAGAACGCGCTCTCGCACTTTCTCCCGCGCTTCCAGGGACACCACGTCCTGATCCGTTCGGACAATATGGCCGTGGTCTCCTATCTCAACCGTCAGGGCGGTGTCAGATCCAGAAATCTCTGTCTACTGACGCACCGCATTCTAGTTTGGTCTCAGAGCCGCCTGCTCTCGCTCAGAGCGACGCACGTGCCGGGCCATCTGAACGACGGTCCAGACATACTGTCCAGGAACCTCATCTCCACAGGAGAATGGTCCCTGAACTCACAGACGGTCCAGTTACTGTGGCGACTATTCGGCAGAGCAGAAGTAGACCTCTTCGCGTCAGAAGAGAACGCTCACTGCCCAATATATTTCTCGAAGAGCGAGGACGCGCTAGCCCAGGAATGGCCTCGCCGCCCGCTCTATGCATTCCCTCCGATCGCTCTGTTACCACAGGTAATTCAGAGGATCAGGGACACACGCCACTCGGTGCTCCTCATAGCCCCGCGTTGGGAGAGTCAGAATTGGGTTCCGGAGCTCACGCAGCTGTCACAGACAGCCCCGTGGCCTATCCCAGTCAGAGCAGATCTCCTCTCTCAAGCTCGCGGCACGATCTGGCACCCCCATCCACAGCGCTGGGCGCTACATGCATGGGTGATCAACGACTATTCGTTGATTTGCCAGAGGGAGTAAGAAACACTATCATACAGGCTAGAGCACCTTCCACGAGAAGGCTCTATGCGTCTAAATGGTCTGTGTTCTCAAAATGGTGCACCGACAAACAGCTGGACCCACGGTTGTGCGAGGTGCCGTCTTTGCTTGTTTTCCTTCAAGAGATGCTGGACAAGGGCAGGTCCCCCTCCACTCTCAAGGTTTATGTGGCAGCCGTCGCGGCGTTCGCGGAACCCCGACGCGCTCAGTCATTGGGCAAAGACGAGTTAGTCATCCGCTTCCTCAGGGGAGCTAAGAGGATGAACCCTCCGCGGCCCCCGTCGGTTCCGGTTTGGGATCTTTCTATAGTCCTTGAAGCTATGAAAGCACCCCCGTTCGAACCGCTCGAGTCTGTGGATCTGAAATACCTCTCGCTCAAAACCGTTTTCCTGACGGCTCTGTCCTCAGTTAAACGCGTTGGGGATCTTCACGCGCTCTCATCCAGCGCCGCGTGTCTTGAGTTTGGACCGAATGATTCGATTGTCATTCTCAAACCTAGGCATGGCTATGTCCCGAAGGCGATTGGTACCCCGTTCAGGGCTCAGATTATCTCCCTATCGGCTCTGCCTTCATCCGATAGTGAGCGCGATGCCAATCTCCTTTGTCCGGTGCGGGCTCTGAGATTGTACACTACGCGCGCTGCCGCGTTCAGACGCGCTGAGCAGCTTTTCGTGTCGTTTGGGGGGCGCACCAAGGGTCTGGCCGCCTCAAAACAGACACTGTCTAGATGGATAGTGGACGCTATCGCCTCTGCTTACGCATCTAAATGCCTGCCCTGCCCTCTGGGCATCAGGGCGCACTCCACTAGAGGCATGGCCTCATCGTGGGCATGGTCCTGTGGAATTTCCGTTCATGACATTTGTGTGGCCGCGGGATGGGCCTCCCCGTCCACTTTTGTCAGGTTTTATAACTTGGAAGTTCCCGCCTTGCAGGCAAAATTACTAGCTGTCTGACGAACAGCTCTCTAAGAAGCTGCATTTCTGGAGGTCCCTCACAACCGGTTCGCCCCTTGTGCTCTCCTGTAATGCTTATACACTTCATGTGCCCGCTCTGCTGGCCCCATACATGCTTATGTGTACACTTCATGAGCCCGCTCTGCGGCCTCTTTGTACATTCACTCCACGTTAAAAAATTCCCCCAGTATATCCCTGGGTTTTTTCATGAGTGGATTCGTAGCGCGCACGGCGTTGGCCAGGTGTTCCCGCAGCGTAAGCTAGCTTACGCAATATGAGAGAACCTCTCGTAAGAGAACGAATCGGTTACCTAACGTAACCTCGGTTCTCTCTAGAAGAGGGAACGAGTATTGCGTTCCCGGCCGTGCTTGCGCTACTAGCGTTTCGCTTCACGCTGAAATAAATCAACATATAAGCCTGGGAGAGCTCCTTATATACACCATGGCCACGCCCATTCTGGCGGGTCATGACGCAATGAGCGCGCGGGCGCCTCTCATTGGAAGCGGGTTCAGCCCCGCTCTCCCATAGGCTTAAGCAGTTCTCTCTGAGCGAACCAATGAGCTGCTAGCTAGCCCGCTCTAGGTCTGCCGCAGAGGAACTGCGTTGTGTATGGATACAAAATTATGAAATAATTTTTTGGCTTCAATATCTCAGCAAAGATGAATCTTTCCCGCAGCGTAAGCTAGCTTACGCAATACTCGTTCCCTCTTCTAGAGAGAACCGAGGTTACGTTAGGTAACCGATTCGTTTTCATGCCGTTATTTAAAAAGCTGAATAATACTGAATGAACTACACTGTATAATTTAACCAGCTACAGTTTTAGCTTGCATGCTTGGTCTTAAAAATACAGTGGACCAATTGAACACATTTTCATTGGTTTTCAAGCAGAGAGATCTCATCCTGTGCCACAGATCTCAGAGAGTGAGTGAGAAGTGCCCGGAGGTAGATCAGCACAGAGCGGCCATACTCGGCAGTGTCAGAGTCCCTTTTTTCATGAGCACTGAGGCACATCGAGCTGAGATTAATGGGATGTGACTGGCTTTATCTCAGGACCCTTTCACCGGATCACACGCAGAGGGTGGCCGAGCAGTGTTACACTCACTGAGGGGCATCTGAACACATCAGCGTAGATAGTGGGCTATGTATCTGGAGTTTATGTAATGATGAAAGATAAAAAAAGAATCCCTTTCACCCCTCACCGAGCTATTTCAGAGTCATGGCTGTCATAATACATTTGTTAAACTACATTTACACTAATTTTGTCAGATAGAAACAGCGAGGAAGTCACTTCCAGCAGTTATGTTGCTATTAGGGACTAAGAAGGTAAAGTTACTGAATTTTTCAAATATTTACACTTAAAAGTTCAACAAAAAATTATGTTTTGGACCCCATTGACTTTCATTGTATAGGCAAAAATTGTTCTTCGGAATACTTTATTTTGTGTTCCACGGAAGTAAAAATGTCAATACAGGTTTGGAACTACTTAAGGGCGAGTAATTAATGAAAGAATGTTCATTTTTGGGTGAACTAACCCTTTAAAGGCATACTTCACCCAAAAATTCTGTTATCAATTACTCACCCTTAAGTAGTTCCAAACCCGTAAGACTTTTGTTCATCTTCAGAATTCTGTCCCTCCTTTGACAGCCTGCACAACTACCACTTTCAAGCCCCAGAAAGCTAGTAAAGACATGGGCGTCGGAAGCAAAAAAAAAGTGGGTGGTCTGGGTCCTTCCCCAGAAAAATGTTACTGGAGTAAATGCCATTTCATGTATTCTGGTGCCTTTTAAATAAACAAGTAAACTAAACTCTGCTTCACGTTGTGCATTAAATGCACAGCTATCCGTGGATTATCCCGCTGCTGATACCATGGTCATTTGCCAGCATTGACAACTTAAAGCTGTTAGTGATGTTTGACTGGAACGGTACAAAGGGCGGTTATTTTCGTCAGTTGCGGCTCGTTGAGAAATAATATAATGTAGCGATTCCGCGGAAATGGAGTTTAATTTATTAGGGCATTCCTCAAGTGGAATGGATTTGACTGACGGCGCTCTGAAAAGTGATCAGACATAGCCTATGCGCTGAATTAGAGACGGTAAAAGTGAGTGGGTCCAATATCATTGGTCTTAAAAAGTGGGTGGGTCTTTTCCCACCCATATACAATGGTTCCGACGCCCATGAGTAAAGACATCATAAAAGTAATCCATGTGACTCAAGTGGTTTAGCCTCAATTTTTTGAAGCCTTGCAAGTGCCTTGTTTGCGCAAAAAAAACATTTTTTTATTTACGAATTTTCAAACTCCAACAAGCGTTCACGAGAGTACCACGACACATGCATGTTGTGTTGATTCGAGAGCAGTTGTTGTTGCGTGAACTCGCATCGGAGATTAATATTTGGTAAATAAATTGATAAATTATACTGTTGTTTTTGTATGAACAAAGCACTCACATCGCTTCATAAAATTGAGGTTAAACCACATGGATTACTTTAATGATGTCTTTACTACCTTTCTGGGGCTTGAAAGTGGTAGTTGCGTAGGCTGTCAATGGAGGGACAGAAAGCTCTCAGATTTCATTAAAAAGATCTTCATGTTTCGAAGATGAACGAATGTCTCACAGGTTTGGAACGACATGAGGGTGAGTAATTAATGACATAATTTTCATTTTTGGGTAAACTAACCCTACTCATTTTTAATAATAAGTCTCCAGGGAAGCAGGCTGCTATAAGGCTGTGTGTCTTTATGGTTTGTGTGTTAAAGATCAGGCAGTCATGTGACCAACATGTCCAACTGCTTATAAGAGTTCTGAAATCAGAGAAACATGCATTTATATGCAGTGAAAAGCAGGAGCAGCACACAGATTTGAGCTTTTTAGAAGACAAAACTGACACCTGAGTTAAACACTTTAAACTAAACCGTTTTTTCTTAAAGCTGTAATGTGTAGTAGAAGATCAGTAATAGCTGGTTGGCGAGGTGAGAGAGGGATTTTCTCCCTCTGTCTTCTTCTCACAGTCTGAGGAATGATGCCCGGAGGAGCATGTGCACCAAGCAAGCGCATCTTTGGAGTTTGCTGGTCCTCTCTGTCTTTCATATGGGACTCGGGGTGTCCTGCATCTCTCTGGGTGTGCTGGGGATCACACAAGCCCTGTGGCCGCAGAAGACCCAAACCTCCTTTTCTACACCAGTATGGAGCGGCGCATGTGTAAGTTAGAGATTGTTCATTTATCTCCTGCATGAGATTAATATACTATATCCTAAATATACATATTTATCTTATGTACTGATTTTTACTCAATTATAGTGATTTCTACCACTTTCTCTTAAACCTGATACTAGTATTGATTTGAAGTACTGCGTATCAACATATATTATATTATATTATATTATAAGCGGTTTGCAAGGATATTATATTGTTATATTTTTCTGCCAAATTACATTTATTAACATTTGTTCAACATGAACCCTGTCTCAAAAAAGTTATTATATTAATTATATTAATTTATTGATGTATTATATTATTGTATATATATTTATGTCAAAATACTTTGTTGTATTAATTATTATTTGTTTATTTATTGTTAATCAATTATTCAATTATAATCATTTACATTAGTACTTATAGACCCCCTGTAGTGAAAATGTTGTTTATATGTCTATGGGGTGTTTTTAATATAGACAAATCATGTGCAAATTCATCAGTCAACACCATAGAGTCGTGCAGGTATGACGTCAGAAACCAGAAGACTTATTCGCCCCTGGTTCCCTCGAGATTTTCCAATGGGGGAACTTGACGATACTTTGACGTTTTGTTCTAGTAAACTGAAGGCATGAATAAATAATTTTCAAAGGAAATATAAACATTTAAATATGTCATTTTGATTATCAATTGATGAGTTTTAAGGGATACAATTACTGACTGGAGGGGGACTATAAAGTTGATTATAATAATGAATTTTATTTAAACACTTTTCTCTTTTTTTATTTACTTTAAATTCTGTAATTATTCTTATTTTTAAGAATAAAGTTAATTAGACTGATTTTTAACTTTACAATTTCCAATTTGCAACTAAAATACGATATCCAGAATGTGTAATGTACTATAATTTAATTTAGAGTTAGTAACAGATCTCGGTTTTTTTTCAGTTTCTTGTCTGTGGACTATGTGGGATACTGTGTGCGAAGAAGAGAACTGGACCAACTGTAAGAGGATAGTAGCGACACACATCGCAACAATATAAATACTTCTTATCTAATCTATACACACATTCACAGAGATAACCACTGTAAGCCGACATCAGCTTGTAAACATTGTCTGTAATCCCTGCTTTATCACTCTCATGATACACTATCATGTAAAACAAAACTTTTATAATGCTGTGTAATTACTGTTATCTCATTCTTGTTTTGTTCCGCCTCACATCACAGATGATCCTGTTTTCAGCCTGTTGCATCTGTGGACTTATTGGGGGAATTCTCAACGTCCAGTTTGTGCGTGCGATGGTGAAACGGGCGAACAGCCTGTACTCTCTGCACCTGGCCTTCCTCTGCCTGGCCAGCCTGGGCGTCTTGAGCTGCACTCTCTCCACCTGGCTCACCTGCAGACTCGCCAGCAGTGAACAGAAAAGGCTGTTTCTGGAAAGGGATCTGTCCCTGCATCATTCCGTGGAGATGGGCGAGAAGGTGAAGGCGGTGTGCGGGTGAACTATCTAGGGACTGTGAGATCTAGTTTGCTTTTATTGAAAATGTAAAAAGTGCAGGTTTGGTTTGTAGATTCAAAGACCCTTAAAGACAAGTAGTTGTTTCACTCGGCGGCCATCTTTGAAACGTCTCTCGGGCAGCTCTGATCCCTTTGAATGGGGAAACATCAAATTCTCCAAAGTTGTTCACCAAACTTTTGGTTCAATTTAACATTCGAAATCTGACAACAACTGTCTCATGAATTTTGTTTCTAAATGCTCAAATCATGACAAAAAAAAAAAAAAAAAATTCAGGTGCAGTCATAAGTGCGTTTGCATCTGAAATCGCATACTCTCTTGAGTAGGTACTTATTTTGAATAAGTAATTACTTCACGACCGCTAAAAAAGTATGTTCTAGTTTGAGTGTGTATAGTATGAATCTGAACGTACTACATTTGCCATGTTGTCATCGGCCCAGTCCCAATTCTCACTTGAGCCCTAAGGCCTTCCTGGAAGTGGACACTTGTTGAAAGTGCACTTAGCGGAGTAAGTGCGCAAGGGCCCAAAGCTGTGAAGAGCAGAATTGGGACAGTTTTGCACACGTCACTTCTGTTGTGATCAGGAGAGCAAACACCATTCATTTGGCTAATGTGTGTGCTGCTTATAATAGCTGTAACATGACACAATCCTTTGAATGAAAAAAATAATATCTTTTTTTACTCTTAGCTACCAACCTTTCTGTTAATGTTATTAATATTAAAACAGTTTTTGGCTAAGATAAATTGTGATTGGGGTTTACCTGAGCTTACACTGCCTTACCGTATTCACAGCGATTCGAAATGCAATTTTAAATTATGTTATTATGGAAATTGATATATGAAATTCTTCCCATCCCATACATGAAAAAATACATGACGTGTTGGTGATATATTATATATAGGCTAAGGCTATATTAAAAGTCTTACATAGGCTATATGAAATAAAATGACACAAACCTGTCTCTTTTTGTTAAATTTCAGTTTTATTGATCAATAATAGCCATTATTAAATTATAAGTAGCCTAAAAAGTATAAGAAGCTATATAAGTCAAGAAATAAAGCAAGTTAAAAGATTCAGTCAAACATAAGTCAACAGGCTAACGTTACAACGTTACAGTTAAATAGCATAAATATATAAAGTTATGAAACTTCACTTTGCCCTCAGCCAAAACGATTTGCCAGGGAACAAATCATAGATTAATGAGACCAAAGATCGCCTGTTAGATATACACAAGCCGATTTATAGCTCATGTTTAACCACTAGACACAGAGCCCGCGGGAAACGTCAGAATGACTAGCCGAGGTAAGGCTGTTCCAGGCGGGGTACATGAGCGCTGTGCGCCCGCTGATCCCTGGAACTCCGAAAAAGTCAGATCAAATTGTTAAATATCTTTATAAACAAACCACAGATTTGAGCTTTAAACAACTATATTCTCGACTGAAAAACTCTTAAAACTACATTTCGTGACACGATAACACTAATATTTTTAAATTTCGCGGCCTTGAAAAACACTTCACCATACCGGCTTCCTTTATCTTCGGAGTTTCCGCTCCCGAACAGCACCATAGCAACCGTTCTCCCCCATTGGTTAGCTGTTCGAAACGTCACAACACTACAAGGATTCTGGGTAATATCCCACAGCAAAGTGAGGTCTGATGCGCACTTGCGAAAGGGGTGCATTAAGTTCCCTTATGATCACCCCTGAAGAACACTATTAGAGGATCGGGACACCCTACGGTCTTGCACCCCTTAGCGAGAACGCGCATTGAGGGGCACAAGGGCGCAAGTGCGGGTATTGGGACAGGGCCATTATCATGTGACCACCAGCTTCAGTTGCTATTGCTTCACTGTCATAAATCCTCTCCCATGGCCTCATGGGATAGTAAAGTTTCGCACACTTCAGAATCTCACCGGAAGTAGTCATTCGGGTACTCTTTACCTACTCTTTTATGAGTACTGTGAATTCGGACATACTTCTTTGGTCACATACTGTTTTTCACCTACTATATAGTGTGTGGACGTATGCGATTTCAGATGTAGTCCAACTCTTTCTATAGCAACCAGCTGCAGTGACACAATGACTTTATCAATTGGCGATTGGCTCTTTTATTTAGAAGGCGGGACTTATTCCGCCATATTGCGCATTGCACTTTCTCCTATTCATAGAAATATGAGTGCACCGTCTTTGTAGTCTATAAGTCTTTGGTAGAATTAGCCTACTTAGTTAAAAGTTAAGTCATGATTTTTTGTCTTTTATAAGATAGGAGCTGTTCTGTTTCGGTTAAAGTTATACAAATAAATCCTGGAATACGACCATTCATTATGTTAATGTTATTCAAGCCACAAAACCAAATCCTTAAGAATGGTCCATTCTTAAGGATTTGGTTTTGTGGCATGAATAACATTAATATAACGTTTAGTAGCATATTTGGTAAGTGAGTCTACTTTATTCCTGGTTTTCTGATCAGGGACACAATCATGGATAAATTAGCCTATACATTCCAGACATATTTTAACCAACACAGTCTCATGAAAGTGCGTATCTATACCACGAATTTCATTTCTCGTGCCATTTATACGTCAAAAATGTTTTTTTTTTGTGTGCATATGCTACGCACTGAAAACCCCTTGGGTAGGTTTAGGGGGGAGGGGGGTGGGGAGTGCGTGCGTATTACACGCCATAAAGTGCGTATCATATGCACGCGAAAACTGCGTATCATATAGACGTGTTTTTGGCGTATAAATGGCACGAGAAATAACATTCGTTGTATAGATACGCACTTTCATCACTGGATGAAGACTCTAATGGTGTCAATTTGCAATGCTGAAGAATTCAATATATGTCAAACCATCGAAAGGTTAAAAGGTCAGGTACTCGGTATTTTAATGTTAACCTTGTAAAGTATGACATGTGAAATAGGCTAGTAGTTAAAGAAATCTTTTGAGCAAAAATATGCAGTTTAGTGAAGTTGCTGATATTTATTTGGTGAAAAATGGAGAATACATGTTTAAAGCTTGTAATGGAAATCAATGAGAGCTTAACAATATGTTTACTTCCATAAATGCATATACATATTAATTGTCACTCTATATCTCTATATGTCTTAGTTTCAATTTACTAAAAGGCATTTTACTTGCAAAAAAGTATCAATCAGACGACTGAAGACAAATAGTAGATTGTGTAGCCTACAACAGTTTTTATCATGTCAGTAATTTAGAGGACTTAGAAATTTGTGTATTAAATATGATACAATAGGGTTTAAATAAGCAGCATAGTCTTTATGTGTGTATGTAGGGAGAGAGAGAGAGAGGGGGGAAGAGGAAGTGATCACACTGACTGTTTTCTCTGGCCTGTCAGGAAGTTCCAGTGAAGCATGCTACGCACAACAGGAGCACCTCACTACCATAAACCTTCCAACCTTCGGATCTGCATCCATTTTTTCTCAGAAAGACGTCTTGCCCTGTTCCAATAGCCAGGCAGTGTTCAAAGCACATGCAAAATCACTAATCAAGGATTTGGTACTCTGGCTACTGAATGCCCAAAAGCAAAAATATTGCAGGCACAGAAGTAAAACCCAATGCTGTTAACCTGTTACTTAATAACTAACAAGCAAGCATGCCGGTCAGTAACCCAGTGAATGGCTGCAAATATTCGGAATTTACAATACAACAGCGACATCTGCTGGTGAAACATGTATCAGCACCCGAGAGGAGCACGAAGTGCCTAACAGCAGAAGAAAGCAATGAGGGATTACAGAAGATCTACAGGTATTTACAGACAGTGTTCGAATTACATAATGACTTTCAGGGCAGAAGACTCTTTAACGTCTGCTATACCTAATCGCAACGGAAAGCGCTCGAGCGTAGGAACTTTTGTTATGTTCTGTCGTCTTCGACTTTATCGAACTTTTATAATTACTGACACGTTTGAAAACTCTGTTGAAACCATATTTATAAAATGAATATGTGCTTTTACCTTTTGTTTTTGATCCCTTTCTCTTCCTGCCATGACCATCAAGAAATGGACCTTTATAATTGGCTGTAGGCCTATAGCCTAGCTACTGTGTTTCTGTTTAGCTTCAGTTTTTTTTACGGACTCATAGATAAATCAAATTAGGCCCAAGTGAATCGAAGCATAAAACATAGCCTACTATACTAAATATCTATGCAAATAAATATTTTTAAAACAAAATATGTTGTTTTTTTCTGCCCATGAGACCTTATAATTTCTCAATTAAACAGTGCTGACGTTTAGTATGTCTAAAGGCAAGGTCTACAAAGGCAATAACCTTACTGATATAGCTCTTACTTTTACTGTCTATGAAATAGCCTAAGTTTTTTAAAAGAATCACACCATTCATTAATTTAAAGGGATAGTTCAATTCAAAAAAAAAAAGGGCCCATCCATCAACTGTTTGGTTATCCATTTTCTTCAAAATATCTTCTTTTTTAGTGATGTGACGTGTAGCCAAAGTATGGTGTCCCATATTCGGAATTTGTGCTCAGTATTTCATCCATCCAAGTACACACACACACACACACACACACACACACACACACACACACACACACACACACACACACACACACACACACACACACACACACACACACACACAGGAATATCTTCTTTCTTAGCAGAAGAAATAAATTCTTAAGGTTTGGAACAACAACAAGGAATTTTCATTTTCTGTTGAACTGGCCTTTTAAGATGCATCACATAACATCAATACACTACTCGGCATATCAATAAAATCATTTCTCCTTTCAAAAATGGGCCCCATCATGACAGGTTAAATATCTGAATGCTGTGTCTGTGAGGATCCTAGAGGGCGCTGTTCCCCATAACTCAACCCCTGCTGCCCCCTTTATCCCGTCTTCCACTTTGTGTCTCTGAAGCTGACAGCTCTTGAACCATTCACAAATCATGGTTATGAACAGAAGCATTCCTTTGTCCTCTGGGTATATAGGGCTTCATTTGGTTCGTTCCCATGATATATGCTGAGGGCAAGAAGTCATTTAACACACAATTTATTAACTTCCTGATTTATACCCCATGCAAAAGAAATGCAGTCTCTCCACTTCCCTCTTCCACTCTTTGAAAACCCTCTAATAATTGTGTGACTGATGATGTGAATAAGGAAGAAAGTATAATCATTACAGATAAGAAAACAAATACAAGGCTTGCCTTTATCTTGACGACTATCCTGGTCATCCATAAGCACATCCATAAAATGTCTGCATTGTTTTTGAAGCTCATTTAGACATCAAGGGCTTTTTAGGTAAAGTTGGTATTTTTAACAATAGCTTTCAAGTAAGAAATAATACAGAAATTGAATAATCAAATAAAACGCTGCATATCTTCACTGTATGGGTTAAATATAGTGTGTTCTTTATTAAAGCTACTAAAGTTATTCAGTCAAGAGCAGTTAGTGGTTCTCTTTTTTATTTTGTTGTTTGATTAACATTAAGGACAGCAGTATATAAGGCTGCTGTCACTTTAAGAACTCCATATATCCAATACTGTAAAAAAAAATCTGTTCAATTTACGGTAAAATACAGGCAGCTGTGGTTGCCAGAAATTTACTGTATAAAATACAGTAGCAAGATTTTACGGTAGCAATGCTTTACAGACTAAACGTAACATTTACAGAAATAAACCGTATTTCATTATTTGATATAATGTTAATTTACCGACCTATTGAAGTATTAAAATCTGTTTTGTACCATTGTAATACACTGACAACCAACAATCACAGCAGTAATGAGAGTCACATCAATCAAAGCTCATCACATGCAGCTCTTCCACAAGAAAGTTAATATTAATATATAGAAGCTGCACAGTGTCATTCACACAAACATTAAACACCATCATGGTAACACACATGAAATTTTAAAAAGGCAATAAACATTAATTTAACAACAGTAAATGTCACATAAAACCCTAATGTACCTAACTGATTAGAAAAAGACTAAGTAAACTATGAAGAAACAGTTATTTCAACAAAAATACATCAAATGCGAAGTGTCACGCAGGGAATTGTGGGAATGTCAATTTACGTTTTTTCACTGTAAATTATACAATGAGTTGTTCATTTTCACTTTCAAAAATGTAAATTTAACAGTATTTTACAGTAAAATTACATGAAATGTACCATTAGATCTATCACAGTTATTTACCGTATATAGTAAGGAAAGGTTCCGTTAACCAATTAACAGTTTTTCACTGTAGCATTTTTACAGTCTTTTACCGTTAAAATCACGATAATTTTTTACAGTCATGCGTTTATGTTATGTTCGTTTAAGACATTTGACAGTTCGAGCACAATAAGCCGCTAAAGAGAATTGAATTTGGCATTGCATGATGTCTGAGGCAGCTTTGGCTTTGGGTGTGTGTCAGTCATCACGCGTACCACATTGAGTTTATTTTCGCTTTAATTGCGCTTAATAGCTTTTTTTTAACATCAAGCACGTCCAACAATTTATTTTCTAATTCATGCATTTCTTTATCGCTCTTAAAGTGTCAAAAACATTAAGGTTGATACTGTGATAACCTTTATTTGTCTTATTAAACCTGGTGATGAATGTTCTTGCATTATTTGTTAGACACTAACAACATGGCCACCTTGCAGAACACAATAGGCAGAAGACCCTCAGACTGATTGGACTTACGGTTTTTGTGCTTTCAGAAACTCCTCCAGCTTCCCCAGATCTATAATTCCATCGAGACCAAACATATCAACATTGTCATATCCATTATCATGCCAAACACTCCAAAAGTTGTCATGACCGAAATATAATGACCCATAGACAAAATAACTGATACAAATAGTATTTTATGCGGGAGCAATAGCTTTTTGAGCAGCACTGTGATATGCTGCAGCTCTGCACAAAGCTACCCGAGTTCAAGTCTCGGTTCGAGGTTCAGGCTTGTCAAGCCAACAACAAAGTTTGTTCACAAACTTTAGCCTCTAGTTGCAAATTGTGGCATGTTGCAAAGCATTCCCATCTCTTGTGTTTTTATTAATGACATCATCAGCGATTATTTATATAATGCAATCACACTGACTCTTGGCCTCTAGAATATATCTTCACTTGTATGGCATGAAAGGTTTGTACATTATCATTAAAAAGCAATTTCTCTATAGAGAAAATGAATGGGATTTTCCGATGATTTGACTTTGTTCCCTACATCTCACTAACATTTTAAAACTTCCCCCATTTTATCTTAGATAAACATAAACACACCCTGTTTAGATGGAAAATATTTTATGGATAGTTGTCAGAGGACGACTTGCTCAATCAGCTGGAACAATGTTTCTTTAAATCAGTCAGTTTGTTTCTCTTGCTGGTCGCTTTCCACATTCGCTCGTCTGGATGAGCGGCGACCTTGTTCCACTGACTCATACGAGCAGAGATTTGGTGACTCACAGTTGGCGGTGTCTGAGGGATGAGCTGTGTAAATCATCTCTGTTCTTCTCCCCTCCCAGAGCCACCGAGAACTTGGGGTAACCTGGACCAGTGGGACATTCTCTCCATAATTGCCTCTCTGAGCATTAAACCACACAGCAATCACAATATGACTGAGTATTTGGAGGAAACTAGTGGAGACAGGAAGTAGTCCTCTCATATCGTTTGCTGGCTCATCACTCTGGCAGAAGACGCTTGGAAAATGAAATGTCACCGTGTGGTTCATTTCAGAGGTGCCGCTGAGTTGATTTTGAGTGCAGAAAGTTCTACTGACTGAAGTTCAAAAACAACTGTTGCCCTTGGCTATCACACTCTGTTGAGCTGAACTGATACATTACCGTATATATAAGGCAATGCATAGAGCAGCTTTTGTTGTTTTGACCACTCAAACAGAGGGCTCTACCAGGTAGCGGCGTGTGTGGTGAGTGCTTTAGATGGAGAAGATGAAGGGAATTCTCTTGTGACAGATCACATTGATGCTGTAGCAGCTGAGGTCTGCCAACCCCACCTATAATGGAGAACACAGACATGGAGAAGTGCAGTGAAGGATGTGGTCAGTGGGAGACGAGGCTTACCAACTTTATTAATGACTCATTAGTTGTCTGTAAATGTTAGAGGTGATTTCCCATAGAACACCCTTTGGTACACACAGAGTGGAAATTTGATGGAGGGTTATTTATTTTCACTGATTAAGCGCGTGTTCAGGAATTTGGGAAGTTCTGGGAAACCTTATGAGGTTACCTATATCACCATTTATAAACACCATCTTTAGTGCTTTATTAAGTTTCACACTGCACAAAGAACGTTTTCCAGTAAAAAGTTAAAACTCCTGATAACATTTACTTGAGAAGCAAGTAGATATTAAACTGATTTCACAGAGAAGGCTTTAAGTAGTCCCAGACTAAAATGCACGTTGAGCTGTTTTAATTGAAAGCAACTTGCAATAAAACGTTACTGGTGTGCATCTTGAGAAAAAACAATGGCCCTGTTCAGAGAATATATCTTTAAGTGTATCTTTCTTACACAATTTG